TACCTCGGTACGGAACATACTATTCTCTAGGTAGTTTCGGAGCCAGGACAAAAATGAGTAAGTGAGACTCATCTTTACAACCATTTATACAAAAAGCAGACGAGGTACTGCATCAAACACTTTTGTGAAATCGATGAAAATTACGTAAATCGGTACCTTATGGTCCGATTAGGTCGTCTAGCTTTCCTATTCTGTGAGGAGGTTAGATGCATATGACCTGTTTTTTTAACCTGTGTTGATCTTCGTGCATAGTGTTGTTTCTATTCATGTATTTACTCATTTCTCCATTGATCAGTAGCTTCATTACCACCCAATGTATTGGGAGTAACACGACTGATCAGTAACAAGCTGGATTTTCTCTATCTCCCATTTCGAAGATTGTAGTGACAGCGGCCTGCTGCCGTTCTCTGGAGACTTGTTGCAAATCTAGTGAGCTCTTGAACAGGTCAGACACCGGTATGTTGATGGTTTCTGCTGATTGTTTCGGGATTGTAGGTCGCATGTTGTCACATCCTGGCGACTTTCCTAAGGGAAGGGATTTTAGTCTCTATAGTATAAGCTTGCCAGTTAGTTCGGTATCTCCCAGACCCACTAGAGTTGAAGGGCTTTCTGTAGTATCAGGCTCCTGTCTAAGTTGGTTTACAAAAGTGACATTAAAGGTCTCTGCCACCTCTAAGTTAGTGAGATATTTGCCACTGATCCACTTAAGATATCAAATTCCTAGGTTTGTGGGATTTCTCCTGACCATGAATCTATATCGATGTTCTGCGTTAGCTTGCATTTTGGCTGCTAGCTTGACTTCGCACTTTACTATTGCATCCATCTCGCAACACCGAATAAGTGCGACAATAAGATTGTCAAGGAGACCTTCCACTTGTTCCAGGACCTCTGTTTGACCAGTAGCAAGCGTTTCGATCCTCACTTAACCCAGAACCTTCGCTTCCCGAATGTGCGCTTACCCCAAGATACATTATGTTGAATAGCATTTTCAATGACATTCCTCAATAACTCCGAGCAGTACCTCATTGTTGGTCTTCAACACTCTCGTAGCCATGGGACATTTTGAGGATACTCACCCATAGCTCAGTAGTCTGCTCTGGTTTTTCCAAGATAAGAAGCATTTTCATCCTGCCAATTTATTTTGTTTGTGATCACGTCGAACATGAATGTAGCCTGGCCACCACTTCCTATTAAAAAGTGGTGATGGACATTCTCAACTAGAAGCTGATCATTTGCCGGTAAGCTTTGAAGTCTCTAGCTAATGATATTTAGTCAAAACGCAGGTGCGGTGACTTTGGTATATTATCTCTTATCCCACCCTTTTATGTTTTAGAAACTTTACGGGGTCGGTAAATTCCTCCATTCAAAAACTTCGTAGCGTTCGCACTTTAGCAACGCCACGATGGGTCTGTCAACTCGCCCGACTGAGTACTTTGTGGTGTTACGGCATTGAAGTGGCAGTTAACGCCACCCCAGCTCTTATTTTGTGCACCCTGGAGTATCGAAAAAGTGCCATGTCCAAAAGCTTACTTCTTCATCTATGGTATTTGGCGATAAGCATGTTTCCGCCAGGACTGTGACCTTCAAACATAACTGAAAACACATGCTTCTGACTTCTCCTAGTTTACCTCTTGATCCATTAGTCTGTGGTCTCAGCATTTTGGGAAGACATGCTGTGACGTAACACAAACCCGTTGTATGGTTTACGTACTTTAGATCACAGAGACATTCGAACCCAGACGTTATGGCAATCAGATGCAAATATCGAGTCACTGGTTTTAACGAGAAACGATCATGCGATACAGTTATCGTTATTGTGTTGTCTCACCTCATTACCAATTGCCAACACGGGCTTGCGATACATTTTCTATTTTGCTTCTATTCTTACTAGGAGTAGAAAGCTGCGTAAGAGTGTGACCCCGATGACTTTGTAGAAAATTCAGTTTCAAGTTTTGAGTTGAGTGATCCACTTTGTCTACGTTACTAGGATCTTCGTTTTCTGGTGTCACATTGAGCTTTCATGTGATCCTGTTGCTTGAAACGGAGATTTTGGGTTTATTCATGACCTTTGAAAAAGGACCTCTACATCTTCTAGCCGTTATCGTATTCATAGCATAAGTATTGGTGACAGAGCTATCACTGTCCATGCTATTTAACAGATCAAAAGAGTAAAATGTAAAGCCATTTAAGGAGGAAGCACGCAAAACAAAATTCCAAATGAGAAAAACGATAGACATAAGTGGATATATGCTACACAAAACCAGGAACTGAGAGGCTTTAGACTGCAACGTTACCTTAGGCTATCCAAACCAGTAAATTCACTTCGTTCCAGTAACTTATCCACATGTCTTGTATTTGCAACGAAATGAACGTATGTTGCAGCAGAAGGAACTATGAGGAAAACTTAGTAAACGATGGCCAAGATAAATGCTGTTGAAAGTATTTAAGGTCTATCGACCATCAACTATTTCACGAAACCACTAAGTGTATTGTAGCAAAACAGGTAAACATCTCTTACTACATTAACTTAACAACCTGATGCAGTTCGGTCGCGTTACGTTGCAAAGCAACAGCAGTTAACTGGTTTGTCAAGGCTCTCCGGCAAGATGTTGAGCACCGAATACATAAGTTCCATTTTCCCAGCCAGATGTGATATACATTCCATGGAAGAACGTTTCCTAAAAAAATGATATCTTGGTTGAATAACTTTCTATAGAAGTTGTTACAAGCGGATCAAATTATTGTATTTGTTATCAATAAATGAAGATTTGATTGTGAGCGAAAAAGGCTGAATTATTCCTCACGTATGAGTTTTCCGTTGCTATGTAAAAATAAGGGCCGATGGTTTTTCTCTCATCTTGAATAAAATAAGTAAGTTATTTAAAAAGCTCTATACGATTTATCAACTCAGCTGTAAATTGTTTATGTTTGTGTTTTGTATTACATATTTTCAGCTGAGCTACATGAAATATTCGGGACTACTGTCGTGTTAAATGTCCTGACGGCTGAATAAAATGATCAACAGATAAATCGTATGTTACTTAAAGGCAATTCAAGCGATTTGATACCCTTTTTCATGCAACTAACATGTTTAACAAAATAATACATCAATGAAGCCATTCGAACTTCATTACCCAGGTATATTCACTAATATATGCACTGCTAATTCATAGTTTAAAATAATCGAGAAAATAATAAGAATTGTAAAAGTTTATTTAAAATTAAATTATACAGTATGACCAAATGTTTCTCTTTCTTCCATTAGACATTTGAACATCAGTTCATACTTCTCTTACCCAGAGGGTATTGTAACGTTGAAAGAAAATGTTGTTATCTACTGGGACATGATCTGGTACGGATTCTCGGCCAATCGTCTACAAAGAAAGGGTTTGTAAAGTAGAATTTAAAAAGTTAGCGTTACTCTCAGAGACTTACACAATTTTTTTACCACAACACTTGTTTCTCAATATACCGGCAACGTGACTCATGAATAAGGCATTTTTCAAAATATGGATTGGTGAGTTTCTTGCAGGTAACAATTTCAGACCGAATTAGGAATTCTAACATCTTGTTTTCAACCAGATTTATCTGAAAGTATTTCATCTCTCGTCGTCATTCGTATAATCATTCAAAATAATTTCCCATCATTTATCCCGTCATCTTCCTTGCTCCTCGACGTTTAACCAGAAATATGGGTGACTTTTGCTGAATACTACATAGCTATGACAAGCTATAGCTAACCATCATCGTGTTCCGGATACCGTGCTAAAATTCAATAGTAGCTAAACTTAATCTGACTGTTTAGAACAAAGTGGTCAATATAATCTATTTCTACCATCACATAACAAAATAAGTATATTTCTTATAACGTAGTTACAAGTGCAATCGCATTTACTAACATTGGAATTCAAAAAATATGCGAGATTTACTTTAACCGGTTATACTATGTGGCTCTACTCTCGACTACTAGATTGTATCGATCTGAGGGATGCGTTATTGTTGTTTATTGTCGTATACTTCCCTTATAAAAAATATAAGTGAGTTGTGTGCGCTCTTTGGATCGTTTATTCACCACTTCTCTAGTTCGTCTCCTTTCCGACCCTACTTATGCTAAAACGCATACTTCCCTAGTACACCAAAGCATTTTGATTGGAATCAAACATCCACAATATATTCTGAGTTAGAAATGTTCTATCTGAACATTATTATTAGTATTCCTTGGGTAACCGTCGAGGAACTTCACACCAAACTGTTAACAGACAAGTGAAGTCACGCCTTTTATTATCACTAATCAGGCATACATTTTACTCAGTTGCAGAATGTGTAGACTTACCTCTTTTGGTGAGGAGTTTTTCGAGCAGTATAGGATTTCATGTGCACACCTGTAGCTCAGATTCTTCCTTAGGAAAATAAGTAAAATATGTTCATTCATAGCAAAAGACGCATGGCATTAAATAAACATCAGAAGAACAGTTCTGTACATTCTCGACGTTGATGCTGACCTCATTAGCTGTATAAAGCAAGCCTCAAGCATCTACATCAGATCCCAACCTAATGCACTGTGGCAAACCTGATCAGGTAAGATCACTTTATTCTCAGCAAATCAACCATCTTCCGAACTTATCTTCGAAACACTTCATTACCGACTCCCGGTTTGACCAGGTATTTGTACTTTCAATTTAGAGGTGTTACACCTAAATTTGCCACAAGTATTCGGGGCTTGAGAACACCGTCACATGCAACATCTTTGTAATAGAAATATGCCGACCCAGTCAAATCACAAATCAGAAAACGAAGAGGTCCGAAGACATATTTGGAAGGATATTACATGAATTTTGACCTCACATACTTGCTTTCGATGCTGATGGAAGATATGAAAGATCTTAAGCTGTACTCCAAAACGGATGACTTGATTCGGAAAACAGAATGGTCTACACTCGCTGGTCACAAATAGCTAAATATTGGAAATTGAGATTTTTTGCGGCTCACAGTTCATTTTTAACGCTACTGTGTCCAAAGCTTTTCATCCAGGTGAGCATTGATGGGCTACTTAACGAATTAATAAATCTAAGAAATTTTGTAATCTATAATTTTCTTACGTTACTAGTCAATACTTAATTGTTGCACATATGCTGGAGATAGTGATGTAGATTTGTACTGTGAAGATGATATTAGAGGCTTTTGTTATCTCTTTTAAGGGTTTTAAACCTATCTGAAGGATTGTGACTGACATTTGATTTTTATAGTTAGAAGTTAGATTTCGGGTTTTCATCACGAACCAACACCAGCTAAATTGCCAGGACGTTATTTAGCAAAATGAATAAGGAATTTCGCACCGAAATCCAAGACCTGTTATCGTAAATCTGATTAGTTCGTCTATAAATTGTGCTCTCGACGTTTTCCCAGATATTTATGTGAGTGTGGCATTTTGAGCCACTCATTGTGATTTATACAAAGCATCTAATATTGCAAGAGTATTAGACCTATGTACTATCTCCAAGTGCGTGTATGTAGTGCGTACATATTTCTCTCATTTTATCCCTCTAAGGCTGCGTGAAGCGTGGGGAATGTGTTACCGCTTTACTTTGCTAATGTCCATCTTAATCACCATGCTGTTCAAAACCGAATTGTAGAACCTTCTGATGATCCCCAACAAAAAACTCACTAGCTTCGATAATTAATGTTAAAATCCTGTGATGCATTCTTGTTGTTTCTGGATTTTCAGATTGTGAAAGTAAATATACTCGTGGAGTTCTTTCTTATCAAATTATCAGAATTACCAGCGAATTTTCAGTTTTTTATGTCTAGTCTCAGTAAGCCTTAAACTTCGTATGTTTTTTGAACGATCCAACGTATGAACATTTGTGTTACTTAGTTATATATCTTTTGAAAGCTTCTGTACGTCACTCCAATCGATGCTTTCTGGTTTTCTAGTCTTCTGAAGAGTTCTTTAAGTTGATGTCAACATTAGTACGCAAAAACTAAACCAGATGCTACATCTAATTCTAGAAAGTGGCATTGTAAAACCATTTATCAATTGAGATTTTCACCTTCGACATATTTCAAATATCGTGGTATGCTTATAATAGGTTATCGATTTACGAAAGTTTTGTTTGTTCTCGAAGTATCATTTCAAGATGTGTTCGTTATCATTACTGAGAGGGTCGTGTAAACCTCCAAATGCAACAACTGATTGAGACAAACTCCATATCATTCATGATAAGCTAAAACCTTCAAATTTTTAAATTGAAGTAAGACATTTAAGTTTAGAGTCACTGGTTTCTAATATAAACTCTGTGGTAGACTTTCGTATTGGGTTCATCAGTTAATATATTTTAGTGGCATGAAAATCCTATCTTTTGTAGTCATAGTGATGTTGTAGTGTCTAGCACTCTGTCGATCCCACATGGGTTATTCTAGCTTCCGGACAGACTAATTTATCCATTCTTCTACAGTCACATTTTGACCTTGTTAATTATTCGCTTACCAACCGTGTCTGTTCTTATGTGAGCGTTTGTGTGCGTAATGCTTACCCTACTTATCACATATCTGTAATTTATTTTTGATCTGGCTATAAATATTGAGTTACTCTTAGTCAAATGGAGTTGGCTCACATGCCTTCTTTTATCCATTTCGCTCCGCTCTATCCACTTCCTTCGCTGCGTTCTCCTGACTGTCTGTTCGGGTAAACGATTACATGAAATATACGTATTCAAAATCCATCCTCGTGTTTGACTTATTTTAATCACATTATTCACTAACGCCAGTTAAGTCAATGATTATATAAGAGAGTAGCCAAGATGTATGTTTCTATAGCAATCAACAAACGATCCAACTGGAGTCAAATACTGGGCCACATTAAAATTTTAGTGACATATTTTTCCTCAAATTCTTGAAAAATTTGCTTTCATTCACTTAATTCAAGTTCCTTTTAGTGTGTTACTCAACTTGGTAAAGCCTTTCTATTAAACTTCTGCGACTTAATAAAACATGTCAGATTTAGAGTCTTCTGGTATGCTAATCTAAGACAACTATTTCAAGTTCTCGACACTAGCTGTCTAAAAGTGCGGATTTCAATACATCTAGTAATTGATATAGAATAAAACCAGTATTTAAATTGATTTTGCACTCAGTACTAACAATAAACATCACAATGCGTGTAACAGTTCGCAGGTTTTTACAACTGTGTCCCAACTATTTTACCATTACTTGGAATCTTTGTACCATTTAGTAATTCAGTAGATTATTTTATGTTTTAATAACTAAAAAACTGCTTATCTTCATTAATAGCTTGATTCTGCAAAATGGAGGTTAGTTTTATGGAAAAAAGACAATAAGTTGAAAATTTAGGTGGTTCAGCGCCACTCTGTACACACACTTGTTTTCCGCTCTCTCAAAAGAACACATGATATGTTTGAAGCTGATCAAAGTCGTCTTCCGGAAGTTGATGAGAAAAGGTAAATAACTAATATTGTTTACTATTCTGCTTAGTAATTCATTAAAAGTCGCCATCAAAGCAAAAGATCAGTATGGACCTGTACTTAAGGAGCCTGGTCACAATCCACTAAGGCCTAAAGAAAGTAAGTGAATTTCTGTCCTATCTATTTTAGATGTCTCTGACACGTCACAATCGGGGGCTATTGTCTTATCTGAAAAGGTCAAACCAAAGTTAGTCTAAAGTTTATGCGATAAATATTTTTGAAGGTCTTCACTTGAACAAAACGCTTCTATAGTTCAAATAGGTAATGAAAAATTACTACTTCCAAAGAAAGCTCCGACTATGCCCAAGCCCACATGGCATCCACCATGGAAACTATGTCGAGTAATTTAGTACTACCTACTATATCCAAAAACTTTTAGGTTGTTAGCGGTCACACAGGATGGGTGCGCTGTGTGGCTTTTGATCCTACTAATGATTTCTTTGTTACTGGCGCGGCAGATCGGATGATCAAGGTATAAAGTTCATTTAGTTCGCTTTTATTTATTTATCTAGGTTTGGGACTTTGCTAGTGGGACATTAAAACTGACACTGACAGGTCACATAAGTACTGTTAGAGGTGTCGTTGTCAGTGCTCGTCATCCTTACTTATTTTCATGTGGAGAAGACAAAACAGTTCGTTGTTGGGATTTGGAGCAAAATAAGGTACCCATGAGTTTTTTAATATATACTTACATATAAAGGTTATTCGTCATTACCATGGTCATATGTCTGCTGTTTACGATATTGATATCCATCCAACAATCGATGTAGTCCTTACTTGTGGTCGGGATGCAACTGCACGAGTATGGGACATGCGAACCAAAGTAAGTTGATAAATTGTAAGGAGTTTGATCTTTCCTTCAAATTAACATTGTTGTTAGTTGTCTGAATGCAGATTTAACTTTAGGATCAATTTTTATATGATAATTCTCTCTTTTTGTTCTAGCAAGATTTTACTAGCCACCAATGTGTCAGGGCAAGTAGGACTCCTAAAATAAGCGAAGTAATCAACATAATAATTGCTTCATTTTTTATGATCAAATGAATCATTGATAATGATTAAGCAATTGGTCTTTTGAATAAAGTACCGATAAAACTAACTCCATGACGGTTATTAAAAAGATGTCTCTTATAAACTTTAAGGACCAAGTTCCTCTGGCTAAAACTGTTTGATTCTCAAACTCCAACGAATACCGTAGTCGTTTTAATTAATGTCGTAATTAACCCCCTTGAAAATATGCAGAGCTAACCTATATAGGCTTACTTCTTTTTCCCATCAAGTACTTCTTAGCCTCTTCAGATGGGTGGAAGCTGGGATCAGTCAACCTTTCGAAAATTCCAGCAGATCATTCGAACCGTAAAATAGCTGAAGAATGGTTTATTCCTTAAATTTCGTCGTTTTCTGTTTTAATCACCTGGTGTGAGAGTAAATTAGCCGTTTTTATAGCAGTTTTGCCAATAATTCGCTTTATTATTCGTAAAAATTCTCCAGATGCAGGGTATTAGGGAATGATGGTAAATCAGTTAATAAGGTTGTCAATCTTTATCGACTGAGATGGTTGGGCCACGTGTTACGTATGCCTGAACACCGATTACCACGACGCGCAATGTTGACTAGTGTTGGGAATGGTTGGAAGAAAGTTAGGGGCGGCCAAACCAAAACGTGGCATCAGTGCTTGAAGCCACTAACTTCTAGTCTGAGCCATGTTGGTAGATGCAGACTACTTGGGGTCCGCGTGACTATAGTAATCAATGGTTGGAGACTTGGTGACATGGCTCAGAATCGATCACAATGGCGTAGGTGTATACACTTTCTGTCTTCCCTTAAACTAAGAGATTAAAATCGCTTCATATCTTTCTTTCTACGAATTAATTCTTTCTTTCTGTACTATATCTGTATATGCAATCTTTCTTTTATATATTACCACCTCTGAATTAACTACTTTTATGAATCCGGTGTTCAACTTGTTGTGTTAATGAGGTATGGCAACTTGGACCGATGCATATATGTGTCTGGTCCTACTTTGTAACTGACTGAAAAACTTTCCATTGCTCTTTATCACCATTGCTTTACTCATTTTCGTATAGTCTAGTTGACTAGCACCCACGGACATGGTGTACACTTTTTCCACTGTGGTTGTAAGTTCCCTTTGTTTATTTAAATCCACAAGGGTGAGTTTCAAAGCACACATTAATGGAGCAAAATCTCTAGGTATACTTTTGCAGTCCCTAACGTTTTGTTTTGTGTGGTCATCAGACTCTACTTTAGTCTTTACGAAAACCTGTAAATCGTACCTGGCAATCTTTGGACGAAAATCTTCGCGTCTCACTAAATGCTTAGATAAGTTCTTGTGTGCATTCTTATCTCTGAGCTAAAATTAATTATTGCATTAGTCCGTGTTTACACAAACACGTAATTGAATTCAAGAAAATTAGGAATCCGGACATATGCTGTGAAAGTAATGAGTCATCAGTTTTTCCCAATGCCAGTTATTCGGCACAAACAGAGACTCCAAAAATATAACATCTTTTATTCCTCTTTCCTAGTTCATGTCCTTCTGATTAATTCTGCAGAGCACAAACAAATGTGTACTGTTCTATTCTTGGAATGTAATGCTACCTACAAGTACAATATCACTAGACATTACTACCGAGGACCCAGGTAATGTAAGAGGGAACTGTGCTGGTTCTTACATTGGCTGAATGTAGTCACATGAATAATCAGGATTGGGTCCTATGTCGGCTCATTTTAAAGACAAGACATACACAAGATTTTATAGTTTTGAGGCATTTCTGCTACATCCGCTAAAACATCTGAAGTTTAACAAGTAGTTTGGAGTGTAATTTTGAAATATGAAAGCACTTAGTGACTGCGGTCTCATGGTCAAAGAGGAAGGTTGGTAACTGTAGTACAAGGTAATCTAAGCAATAGAAGAAGGGTTTGTTAGTGAACGTCAGTTGTTGGTGGTAAGCACTAATTTCTCTAACATGCGGTAGAAAAAAAACTCGATGGTGTGTACATTGAAAAATAATTGCGGAGTTCAAGAAACAACTGGTGAAGTTGATCACACACAGCCTTTTTGTAACTTCCAAGGTTACATAGTATTAGGTCTGTCTTTTACAATTTCATCGCTAGAACACAAAGTCTTTGTAAAAGGACAATGTTCTGTCGAAAAACCACCCCTAGTTTGTACGCACTAGGTAATTATATTATTTTTGGAAAACTTCACTCTATAGTTTTCGTTTTGGTAATGCATACTTCTGTAATCTTTTTCTTTACGCAACGGGTTATAAATGCTGTGGAAAGTCGCTACAATTAGTTTTGTAATGGAAGTTAACCAGCTGAAAAGATATTCTTCTTATAAATCGACTTGAAATTATATCTTACTACTAATGGCTTTTAAATAGTTTCACACTTGAAAAATAATTTCCTTCCTTTGTGTAATAAGTCGTTAACCGTTAACTTCTATTTCAGGTCAATGTTCATACTCTAACAGGACATTCGAACACAGTAGCGACAGTACGTTGTCAAGAATCTGATCCTCAAGTGATTACTGGATCACATGATGCAACTGTCCGCCTTTGGGACTTGGCAGCAGGACGTACCATAGCCTGTTTGACAAATCACAAAAAATCTGTCCGAGCTATATGTATCCATCCAACTCAGTAAGTTTCCTAGAAGTTTGACTTTTAATTCTCTATTCATTTAAACGCAAATTTAGTGTGGTCACTGATATAACATGAGACTAAAGACAGGGTCGCATTAAAATTGTTTGCTATAGTTTTCTTTCTTAAAAAGGAGATGCATTCCCATGGTAGCCGGTGACCAACGATTGATTCATACGCCATTTATTCCTTTAGGATACTGGAGCCCATGTGCACCATTGGTTTAAAATCAGGGTTTTCCAACTCCCCTAGGTGGTCTCTCCATGTCCACCAACCCGGTTGAAGCGCCGGACGTTCGCTTTTCGTCCTCCCAATTTTGTAAACAACACCCCCACCACGAGAAGGCAGTGAGTAGGACTTCCCTGGTAGACTATATACGCGTGGCCATGTGAGAGCATTTCGAGAGGGAGAGCGGAATCTCCCCACTCTCGGCCGTACCAGGGCATTTGGGGGCTGAGTTACAATAAGTAACTTTACAACAACCAGAACATCCGTATCTTTTTGCCGCGTTCGTAAATTAGTAATCTTCTAGATAGAAAATAGTTTTTCTGGTTATGATTATAGTTCAGTTATTTTATCACCTAAGTTTTATTTGATGTTTGCATGCCTTCATATCTTTCAGGAATGCATTTGTTTCTGGATCACCGGATAATATAAAACAATGGAAACTCCCCAATGGTGTCTTTCTTCAGAATCTATCTGGACATAATGCTATAATTAATGCCATCACTGTTAACCAAGATAATGTGGTCGTCAGTGGAGGTATTTACTAGTTTACATATGCATGTCTTTATTCCAGTAATTTATTAAAATTAAGGATTATAATGTACGTATTGACCATTTAAATAGTTCGTACGGTCTATTTCAAATATTTGTCTGTCAAGAGATTGATCTCTGCCATTGGTCTTCCTGCTTATTTTAGGCGATAATGGCAGTGTTCACTTTTGGGATTGGAAATCTGGGTATAACTTTCAGCGTCTTCAAGCTCAAGTTCAGCCTGGCAGTATTGATTCTGAAGCTGGGATATTTGCTTTAGCATTTGATCGTAGTGGATCTCGCTTGGTGTCCTGTGAAGCAGACAAATCAATAAAGATCTTCAAAGAAGATGAATCAGCGGTAATTGGGCTTTTTGTTGTTATCTGAACTACATACCTCATAATAACCTAACCTACATACTACTGGACTAAAGTTATACTGAATTTGAGAGACTAGAATGAAAGTAGTGTATACAGACGCGGAGACAGTAGTCAGTCATTAATATATATACACAAAAGTTGCAGATAAAATCTACACTCCACTTCAAGTTGTCTGTAACTGTTTTCAATAAGCACTTCAGATGTGACTACTTCCGTGAAATCTTTCATCACGATATTTGAGTAATTTCTGATCAGGGATCTTAATCAAACACTGGAAATATCTAACTTGCAGTCACTAAGCATCACAGTATAATCAGTTATCGAAATAGGGCATCTGTAATATACGTTTCAGTGGATTGGTTACGAATGTCAACACAGCTCGAAGTGGTGAGAATTCTATTTTTGCAACATCCTATACTTACTGTCATGTAGCAGTCTTCATAACTTTGAGAATAACTGAGTGGAATGAAAAAATATACATTTCTAAATTGTTGGTGCAATTGTATACGATGAGAAAACACATTTCATACACTGACAACCTTACAAAGGGGACGCTACATAACTAACTTGGTATTCATCCCTGTGGTTGATTAATTGGGGGGGGCGACATGTTCTGTATTGCTTTTAACAGACTAGTTGGATAAAGACGACCGCTCAACCTTTGCCGAAGTGGCTTAGGTATGTCGAAGTGCGAGTATACACTGTGCAAACAGGTCACTCCAACGCTGTCTTCTGAACACTTGCTTTATATAGTTGAATTACCAAGTGAGTTATGTTACAGTTAAATGTTGTTTCAAAACAGGAAATCAGGTGATGAAGCTGAAATTTAGTCGACTGAGGTAGTCAGAACACGCTTTACACGTGCGCAGCTGCTGCTTAACGTCTACAAAACGAGGTCTAAAAGCTTTTCTTAACTAAGCTTCACTCCTCACCATCAGCATTTACTTTGTGGATTAATCAATCACATGTTTTATTTTTTAGACGGAAGAAACACACCCACTGTACTGGCGCCCGGGCTTGCTCAAAAAATCGAAATACTAATTTACCTAATCCACTTAACATCTCAACAACAATATGTATAGTATGTTCCTATTAAAGAATTTATCTTACTAAATACAGTCGATTTACATGTTTGATTATCTTAGTGGTCCGGTTTAGTGGATTTATTTAAGACCATAAACCGTTATGGACACCAACTAGTAGCTTTCAAATTCAAAATCACGTATAAGCACCAAAAAACCCATTACTCTAAACGAGCTTCACCATAACCAATTCCACATTTACATGTATTGAATTATTCGACCCTATTTCTCAGCGACTGACATCTGTGCCTAATTTATTTTGGAAAAATGATAGAATTAGTAGAGGAAAGATATTTTTGGAATAAAATCTGTCAGTGTTTTTCTCATAAAGAAATATACGTCCTATGTAAGTAATAAAATAATAAACAGGGATCACTGCGTCAGTTTTATCTTCTTACAAGGTAATTGATCTTCTACACAACTAGCTTCGTCTGTAGTTTGTTTATTTACAGTAGGTTTAACAACGATAGAAGATACATTTGGCATAGACAAAAGTCTAAGCAGTGCAGCTGCACCATGTACTGTTTTGCTTCGTATAAGACCATGAGTCACTACTGCGAAAGGCGCCTTGGTAAGACAAGAGTGAGTTGCCTCCTGAGGTTGCAGACCTAGACAACCAAGCATTGCAGATACAGCCACTGGTCGACGGACTTCCCACCCGCTTGACGCCCCCGAACTGACGACTATCATATTTGTAAATGACTTCCGTGCTATGCAGAGTAAGCTGCTGAAATACTGTGATAAGACTGTACGTGCGCTATAGGTTCCAGAGGAAGAGCGAAGTACTGGAGCAAGTTGGAATTCTAAGTGAATACCTCGTGACATCATCAAATTGCATTGTTTACTTAACAGTCGAATTTCACTTGATTTTGTAAGGTCTAAAGATATAAGGTCAATGTTCACAGCCTTTTCACATGCATATGCAAAAGCGCTATTGGAAGTAGGACAGAAACTCACAACGTCGAAGGCACCAAGTTTATCCTCAAATTGACGGAAGAATAAACCAGCATTTTCAGCATTATTGCAATATATAGTCAAACGTGTGAATATTCGTGGTTTACATGATATAGCGGAAGGCGACACGGAAGCTCTGAACATACTACTTTCATTAATATAAGCTTGAAGAACATCTGGAGAAGGGGGTTCTAACTTAGCAGTGAGGTTCTGACGCATAGCTTGTCTTTCTTCTTTGTTTTTCTTCCTAGTAGTGGAATCTGATTTAACTTCGAAATTGAAGTCATCTACTGATACAGACTGACTGACCGCCACATAGTAATATCCACAATCAAGCAAGCGTGCAAGGAGGTGCGCGTTCATTGCTTCAAAAGGAATATCAAGATCGAAGTAATTCCCTTCCATTTCATAACATATCAGAGTAAATTTATTGAGATTTAAGCCCAATTATTTGAAAGTTCTGCTTCTCAACACAAAACCTAGAGTAGAAATAAGAAACATGTTAGCCTGAAGTGTAATGTATCAGAAATAAAAGACGAATCATGTGTAGTATATGTATGAAGGTGGATATATTGACAGAAAATAGCGAAATAAAAGGAACATAGTAAGTGTTACATCTTAGTGAAGATTAAATTACGGGTAACTTCTGAGAACTATTAGTAGATCAACATTATATATATTCTTATTGTATAACTACTCAGTAAATAGATTATGTATATCTATACTCCCCTTATTACAAGCTTTATTTTGACCTATATATTATCGTTATACGATTTACTGTTCTTAAATTATACTCAGTTTATTAGTTACAGTCTCCCACGTTCACAGCCACTTTCTAGCTTGGTCTTGTGTAGATGTTATCTCCTATTCTATGGTGTGATACGGTCTGTTTGGCTAGTATATAAACCAAGTATGTTTGAAATAATTGATTCGCATAATGGATTTGCATATTGGCGTTCCGGACTCAACTGGTAGGGCTAGGAAGAAAATGGACCAATAAGGACGCTAGGCTGCTCATACCGGTCGAACCCCATTGATTATATGAGTCGCATCTCGATTGGCGAAAAAATCACGTGATGTTGAACCGGGCTTAACAATACAACAGTAAGCAAAACCATGATCGCGATTTTGTAGAATAATATTCATATTCTGTGCGTAATTTTGAATCTAGAAACAAAGCTGTAGTGAATCCTAACTATTTCACAACCAGTAATCTCAATTCATCTCTTTGACTAAATATCTGCAACATTTATAGCGTCGACATCTTGGATACTGTAAAAGGATCGTAAGAAATCAGAAACAAAGTCTGTGTAAAAGGTTTTCTTGCTTTCATCAGTTGGTAAATTATTCTCTCTGAAACTTTCACTGGCTTACAATGCAGTTAACAGCTATGTATGAGCTAGAAACCGTCCTATTACACAACCGACTGACTCCTATAACGTTAAGCAATTTTAGTATCACGTTAAACATCTAACCTAAATCTAGATTAGTAAAGTGAGGGCTTGGCGGGGACTTGTGGAGGACAGGCCTAGTAGGTTGAAGTAAGGGGGTATGGAGAAGCATTACGTTAGGAAAATAAATTTCACCAGATAAGGATGTGAATCCCCATGGACTTTGTAAAATATAGTAAACTTTAGTGATGAGCTTTATCTCGGAAGTTGATAGACCAGAAACCTTCATCACTTGGTGAGATATATGAGTATTGAAAAAATGGTTGTTGTGCATAAACTTTCCTTGAATTAATTCACAACTATTAAACATGACCACAGAAACACGGTCAGTCTTGAAGGCATTTCGTAGTGAAATAACGCAAAGTATTATTTAGCAACGATAAAAGAAAGGTTAATTATGCTAGAAATAGTCATAGTGCCACATTTTGGAATAAGATTTATGCCCGTAGCTCACTAAGAAGTATATACTAGTTCAGAGTCAGAGAAGATAACGTTGCGAGTCCCCAGTCGTCAAGTAATTGGATCTGTCTAGTTGACCAGAGAAATTCTATTTGATCACAACAGACAAGAATCGATGTTGTCCTTAGTTATTGCGTTCAGCCACGTCTATTATTCACTAAATAACTGGTCAAACAGTTGAAGATTTGGTGATAAACCCGAGCTCCCGATTTGGGGGAAAATTTGACCCATTTTAGGGAAGCCGCTATAGTAAGCTTTGGGGAAATGGCACTAAGACCCCGAAATCTCCAGAGACTTGGTGAAATTCTCCAATATTTCCTTGAAATTTCCCTTTAACCTTGGTCAAGGTCATTTGACCAGTTTCTCAAACTTGAAAGCTCGAGGAAACCCTACGTCAATAGCCGAAGAAATATAAAACTATTCCGGAAAATGAGTGATTTGACCTAGAATTTACCCCGAGACAAATGAGAGACGAGCAAAGACATTGTGCAAATACTGCAAGACGAGTAGGAATTGGCGTTATGAGTTAGTCAACAAGTTTGTGCAATAAGCGTTAGCTAAGTCAACTGCGAAAGTTATAAAAAAGGATGCCAAGCTGCATAAGAAAGAATTAAAAAATTTGTATAACTTGCTATAGTTGCAGTGTAACAGAGATTACGGGTTCAAACACTACACAAAACAACTAGGAATCATGTCGATTAGTAGCGCACCTGTCGTAAGCTGCGCCACGACTTCCCTAACTTAAGGTCTAGAAACTAGTTCATATTTACGGCGGTACTAGTGTATATTCACTGTAGACATTAACTGCAAAAATAATTCATCATACTGACATAATGCGTCTCTGCTTATTAGATCAGTGCGAAAAAATTATTTATCTTAAAAACTCACACTCACTTATAGTGATAATGAAGTTCCAAAGAATCTATCAACCGGAAATTCCAAACTAAATGGTTCAAATGGTTGTGGACGGAATAGAAGAAGCTTTCGCTTAACAGGCTTCCGTGTCTAGTAGCAGGGGATCACCAAATCCTCCAGGCAGGAACCTAGGTATGTTAACAATAAAAGAGGAAAAGAAATTGGTAAATCATAGTGTGATGCTATCCTTGGTCCTTAAGAATAGGTCAAGTTGCCTCTTGAAGGACTCCTGAGAAGTCGCTTGGACTAGCTCGGCCGGCAGCGAGTTCCAGCTTTTGACAACTCTTAAGGAGTAGAAGTTGTGTCTACATTCCGTCTTGCTATGTTGTGTTTCCAGTTTCTGGGTGTTACCCCTTAGGTTATTATTCGAACTAAGCTTAAGTAGGTGTTTAAGAGGATGTCCAGAAGTGTTAAGAATACTATAAGCCATTAATAAATCACCTCTAAGACGCCTGTATTCTAGTGGGTAAAGGTCTAGTGAACGGAGGCGTTCTTCGTAAGGCTTAGATTTGAGTCCTCGAACTGATTTCGTGGCTCGCCGTTGGATACGCTCCAAAGTGACCTTGTCCTTTTGGAGTGAGGGGGGGAGTACTATGTTTCCGTACTCTAAATGGGGACGGATGAAACTGTTGAAGATTGTGTGGAAAGTTCTTCCGTCAAACTGGCCAAAAATGCGCCTCAACGTTACCAGTGCAAGGTTTGCTCGGAAGGCATTTTTGTCACAGTTAGCGTAAGACTTTAAGTCATGGGGCACCAGGACTCCTAAATCTTTTTCGACTTGGGATACTACTAGAGAGGAGTTTCCTAAGTTGTAACTGTAGTTTGCGACATGTCGCAGATGGACTACTTTACACTTTGAAGTGTTAAAGGTAAGTCCGTTATCGTCTGCCCAACTTTGAAGTCGAGTCAGATCCTCCTGAAGTGCCTGTATATCGTCTTGGTTGCGTATCTCTCTCCAAAGTTTCACGTCGTCGGCAAAAAGTAATAAGTCTGACGTTACCTGTTGAGGAAGATCATTTATGTAGATCAAGAAGAGAAGAGGCCCTAGTACTGAGCCCTGGGGGACCCCACTAGGACATTCCATAGCTTGAGATAAAGTGAAATTAACCCTAACCTTAAAGTGTCGATTTTTTAGGTATGAAGTAAGCCAATCGATTAGAGGTGGTTTGATATTTAGTCGTTTGAGCTTGTTGATAAGACACAAGTGGTTAACCTTATCAAAAGCTTTTGAGAAATCAAGGTAAATGACATCAACCTTTCCCTTGCGATCGAGGATGCTTGTCCATCTGTCCACCGCAGTCAGCAGGTTGGTTATACAAGAGTAACCCTTCCTGAAACCATGCTGTTGGGGTGAGAAGAAATTTAAGGACAGTAGATAGTCATTTAAACCGTCGCATATCAGGGACTCCATGAGTTTTGAAGGTAACGACAGAAGAGCTACCGGCCGATAACTTGAAGGTTCATTGCGTCGACCACCTTTGAAAATTGGCGTGATGTGAGCCAACTTCCAATTTTCCGGTAATTTGCCTCGGCTAAGCGAGTGTGAAAACATCACGCTAAGCGGCGTTGCCAGGATTGAGGCTGCCTCCCTCAGTATGGCAGGATGAACCATATCCGGGCCAGGAGAAGTGTCAAGTCTTAAGTGCTGCAGTTTCCGGAACACCAAGTCAGCGCTTAGGTCCACTTCAGAAAGTCCTGTGGAATTGCAGATGAAACTGTCGTCAATAAAGTTGATGTCAGCCGGTTGAAATGTTTGAGAGTAATGTGCCGCCAGAAGGTTCGCGGCGTCGCCATCATTGTTGGTCGGGCCGTTAAGACCTAGCAGTTGAGAAACTCCTGTTTTGGCTTGACGAAGAGAGGCTGAGTAACGGAATAGGCTTCTAGGGTTAGAGGCGAACTTGTCCATAAGCTTTGTTTGGTACTGAAGCCTGTCTTCTCTTATAGCCTTCGTGCATATGTTCCTGATATGTTTATATTGCCTATACGCTCCATCGTTATTAGTTCGTTTGTATTCCGCCCAACAGTGTCTTTTGCGACTTAGCAGGCGAAGGGTACGGTTCTTGATTACTGTAGGTGGCTTGAAGCTTTTGGGAACCGTTTGAGGAACTGAATGGTCTGTAGCACATAAGAGCGTGTGCAGTAAGAAGTCCCAATGACCATCCACATCAAGTTGAGGGTGAACATCCCAAACCACCTGTTGTAGATAGTCATGTAAAGCTGGCACATTCAGCCGTTTGAAATTCCAACGCAAATTATTGTTGGGATACCTTAGCTTAGTTTTGATGACAAAACTGAAGGCTATGACTGCATGATCGCTCTTTCCCAGAGGAGCCAGGATTGAGAGGTTGTCGACTAGGAATTCTTCGTTAGTGAACACACAGTCTAAGCGCGATGGTGTCTGACTGTTTCTCCAACGAGTTGCCGACCTCACATTTTCATATAAGCCCAAGTTATCGATGAGGTTGAAGAACCGAGCTTCAGTTGAGTTGTCGCCTCCAGTGTACGTGTGTTCCGCGAAGTTGACTCTAGGGAGATTAAAGTCCCCTAGAATCAGGATGTGTGTGAAACCGAGACGGATAGAGCGGGATAGTCCTTCCAGCATACGACTATCGTACTCGGTGTCGGCAGTTGGCTTTCTGTAAATGACTCCGAATAGACACCTGGAAGTACTAGACAACCTTACAGAGCACCATATGGATTCCTCAAGATTGTTAAACTCGAGGTTGTGAACCTGGTGCACCTCCAAGCAAGAGCTTATGTATATGGCTACTCCGCCCCCAATTCCTATTTTTCTGTCGTTGCGGAACAAAGTCATCCCAGGTAATGCTAACTCTTGGTCCGAGAACTGAGAAGATATCCAGGTTTCAGATATTCCTATCAGATGGGCCTTGTTAGCGTTGCTAAGTTCACGTAGTTCATCCAGTTTGTTTGGTAGACTCGCGGCGTTCATATATAAGCAGTTTATGCTTTCAATTTGGAACGCGTGAGCTTCGTCCTGTTTTTCTGTATGAACCTTATGTGAATGGACAGGTAGCCCACCTATATGAGGTTTGCCGAGGTGGTAGGCCCTGTCCTTTACACGTTTTTTTTATCGTTTAGACAGTCCACAAGTGGAATGGTCAGCTCCAACTTGCCTTTGTTCTTGGTCCTGACTTCGTATGGCCTATCCGGGTGCATGTGGATTCCAGGTGGCAATCGACGTCTATTAGCACGAAATGCTTCCAGAACTGCAGCCGCCATGTGGGAAGATGTGAAGGTTATCTTCATTAGACGGAGTCTAAGATCACCGTCCTTCTTGGCTAGTCTCGTCACATGCTGAGTCAGTATGTGTTTGAGCCTCAAGGACTGTTTGATGAATTTCCATTCCCTGATGTCAGAATTTGATTGAGTAGGGTCTGCATTTTCCGGTATACCTTGGACAATTATGTTTCTTCCGCGGAAAAACTTCTCGCGAGATTCTTTAGGGACGTTTCGTATGATATTGCGCTCAGAGTACGGTATGTCGGGCAATATTCTTACGTTACCATCTGATTTCAGTAAGTGACTTGCTAGCAAGACGTCCTCTACGTCGGTAGCATTCTTAAGTGTTACTCGGAGAAGCCTCGGGTGATTTAGATGCTTAGAATCCTTTCCTCGAGTGAGCCGGGTGACCGTCAAAGGCTCTATTCTAGGAAGTTCGAGCTTCTTGTTCAATTCACCCCACAGCCTCCTGTCGTTTTTATCCTGCAGACTGAGAGGAAGGTCAGGATTGTCGACGAGGTTCATGATAATGAGAGAATCGTCACGAACTGTTGTTAATTTACCAGGTTTCACGATGGGTTCACGTTTAATAACTTGTTGTTTGGAGGTCAGTGTGCGTTTGTGAATCTTGGGCTCTTTATTGACCGGACGAACAGTCTTGGGGGTAGACTGTGCGACTAAATCACCAGTTATTTTCCGTGCAGCAACACTTGGGTTGCTCGGCTTAGGCGGTGATGCCTGGTTCTTTTGGGCTCTCTTAACGTGGGTCGAATCACCTGCAAGGTTTTTGGGAACCACTGTTGTGTTCAGGGACCCTGAGCTGGAAGACCCGAGTTTGCCTAGGGAGTCTAGTACCGTCGACGTAATGATGGTACTGAGCCTCGACACGTCGTCATTAGTGTTGATGGATGCTCCATCGATGGTATACCTATCGACATCCCTATTTTTGAGTCCGTTGCGCGCTCTTGTTTGTATATCGGTTTTTTTACTGTCGTGTTCCAAGTTAACTGACAGCTTGTTCCGAAGACCTGTCAGTAGGACAATGATGTTACTCAGCAAGACTACAGCGTCCGTGTTGCACGTGACACATACCCACTTTTGGTCTGACTTGCTGAGTCTGTTGTAGGCAGTTGCTGTCAGATTTGTGCATGCTTCGTGGAACCAACCTTTGCAGTTGTCGCATTGCATGCCAGTTGTGACAGCAAAACGGCATCCCGGACGTTTGCATGAGTTCTTCATGACGGTGTTGAAGCAAACTATGTTATAGATGCTTGCAAAAGCTTAAGACCTTTTTTAAAAAAAAACACTAAAATGCACACTGAAAACGGACAAAAATGGACAAAACGAGTGATATAAACTGAAACTAGTCTATACGTGAAAAACAAAAAAAAACGAATAGTAAGCTGAGGCAAAACCACAGGTAACTATTAAATATAGTGAAACTCAAAAAAAAGTAATCTACCGAACGTATAGCTCAGGATAGATTCTTTAGAACTTAAATGGTACTTTTGTTGCGTAAGAACACAGCAAAAGTTTGATATATGCAAATCACGTTAGGACTAAACTTCCCGTTCG